GACAGGGCTGCTGGGGCCAGGAGGAGACCAGGGACATGTGTCCAGGTGAGCAGTGTGCAGGCAGAACTGGGGATATAATGCTCAGGGGGATCTTTGCTCAGTCTTCCCAGCCACAAGCTACAAATCCAGATACAACTCCTGCTCCTCCTTGAAAAGCATTCAGGCCAAGGGGCATTGGGGAAGAGGGCGAGTGGTGTTGGCAGATACAAGTTCTTTTCCCAGTGGTTCTAAGGCTTCTGTGTCCCAGACTCATGCTGGGCTCAGAGATGGGGCACCTTGGAGGAGCTCTCAGACCATCCACATTGAAGTCAGGAGCCTGTGTAGGTCTTGTATTCCCCCTTCCATTTCTTCCTGTTTCTTCTCCCTCCTAAAATAAAGCTGCACACAAAGAAGTTAGGACAGTACTTGGCACGCATGAGTACTACCATCCCGCAGTTCTCAGGGGAGTTATTCAGGGCCACCCCTCCAGGGTGCACCTCTCCAGGGCTGCTGATCACATTGTATTTTCTTGTCATCAAGGTGAGCCTTAAGCATTAAATGACTTGTTCAACATCACTCTGCATGAATGCAAGTGGAGATTCAATTCACTAATTCAATAAGCATTTATTGAGCACCTGCTGTCTCCATGCACTGGAGGAGGAATAGCAGTGAGCAGAGCTGGCCCAGGCTGGGATGAATCCAAAACTCTTGCTCATCCTGCAAGGCCACCTGGCTAAGCTGCACACTCAGTACAGTAAGAGTTGTGCTGTACGGCAGTGAAAGAGGGATCAGGCATACACCTCTAAGGTGGCTAACTGAACCAGCTGGGTTCCATTCTAGCTCTGTCCCCACTCAGAATGGAGGCTCCAGCCTCAGACCCCTTGCCTGGCTGTGGCTTTTGTCTGCTTCTGACTTTATATTGTCTGACCTGGTCCCAGGTCATTTGCTTTGCATCCAGGTCTTTATTCTGCCATGCCCTTGGCCTCAAACCTCGGTCTGTCTTCTTTTCAGGTCTACTTTCACCTGAAATGTCTTTTTTTTTTTTTTTTT